ATTTACTCTGACACAGGTGAGCAAGCAGGCAAAAACAATTCAAAATACAGTAAATCATGTTCATAATTGAGTTAAAATAAACAAGCCCCTCAGGAGTTTGTTTTTTTAAGCATGTTTTCCAACCAAAAAACACACTTCCTGGCCAAAAAAGTCACTGCACATCACATAGACTGATATTTTTAAATTGATTTCAAATGCGCTAAACCTGATGCAAAACCTGGAGCATTACGACATATAACTGAGCCCCAGCTTTATGTCATGCACGTTGCCTGAATCAATTTTAACTGTGCCAACTCCAACACAAACCATGGGATATGTGGCAATGTAATCACAGCCTGTTTTGTACGCACACAAATATGTTCCTTAGTGACTGTGGGGGGGGATGGAATTCTTATAGAAGGAAGAAGGGGAAATATTAGCCATGGCAAACATCCCCAGCAGCAGCCTATCAATATATGAACAGCCACATAGACTAAAATCTGACTGCCTCACAAATTACACCCTTCTGTTAATGTCTGCAAAGTGACATAAGCTGAGGAAGCACTATTAAAACGGAACAGGCTGGGTAATCTGTTCTTCTGTTGGGAAAAGCTGGCTCACAAATAACACTACTTTCTGCAATGTAGGAGTCATGAATACCGAGCTGTCCAGCCAGAGCTCTTCCAACGTTGAAACTGAACTGGCTTGGCAGAGAGTTTTCGTTGTTGGTAAGAAAATAAAAGCCTCTGGGGATCTTCCTGTCCCTTAACAAGATTAGCTTTTCATGCCTGTATTGAGAGTTCCATTTCTGAATTTCAGGCTCATTTGGGAAAGTTGGGAATAGAAGCTACAGAGAGAAAGGGGAAAAATGCTTCTCAGTATCTTCCTCAATTCAAATGTTGGTTCAGGGCCAGTATAATTACTGAAAATGAGCCTATACTTTTGTCTTTACCTGTTTTGAAGAAGAATTCTACTGTTCCAGCCCCCCCCCACCTATTGTGGCTAGCAAATTCTTGAATAATAGTGCCTTCCTTTTTATCTTGGTGGGGAGGGAATCAAGATAGCAAACAGAGTGGGTGTTTCTGGCATTTGGTAACATTTCTTTATCCACTGAGCAATCCCTGGACCAAATTCAAGGTTATCACAGGCTACCCGAACACTTGGTAGGTTTTGTAATAATGCCCTTTTGTACCCTGCCCGCAAGTAAATGCAGCCACTTTGTGCCCAAGGATGACAAAAGCTGTCTTAAGGTGCCCTAAGCAACCTTTAGACTAGAAAATACCCATTAAACATAGAGTAGCCTGCTTCATACTGTGGTCAGACTGCACTCACCCAGAGTCCAGGATTGCCTACTTTGACAGGCTGCGGCTGCTTTTCTCCAGGTATGAAGCAAAGATCTTTCATATCACTACAAACTGGTCCCTGCTTAATTGGAGTTTTCAGGAACTGAAAGTGGAACAGTTTCAATGTGGCTAAATTATGAGAAGACATATGGCTCTATAATCTATATACCTTATGATTAAAACTCTGTTCGCTTTCCCACCTTGTGAATCTGTATCTTTAAACAATATTTTTTGTATGCGTCTCTGATACTTTTGTTGCAGAAAACTCCACACCCTATGTTAGTGCTGTGGCACCTTCTGTCTTTCTCTATTGGTGTCCATTAAAAAAGGTAGGTGGAACATGCTTTTGCACTGAAAGTGGAACACTGGGCCATGCCAAGATCAGTACTTTGACTGACATGAAGTCTATGGGAGAGGATGGTCAGCAGAATAAGATGCTACTGATTCCAAATAAGAAGTATGTGACACCACCTGCCTTACTGCACCTTCTCTAAAGTGCTTTTGCATGCTCAGCTCTGACCAGTCTTCCTCTTGGACATTGTTCAGTTTTGTACTGTTTGGTGACTGAGCATCACTAGATGTAGAATAACCTGTTGCTATCAGTTGATTGGGGCCAAGTCCTCCAGGAGAATGAGGTCCAAGTTATATTTGATGTTATTCACACAATGACCGTCTGTGTGATTGGTGGGTGTGTTTTTTTTAAAGCTGACAGCAGCCACAGGAAGGCCCAGTTCAGATCATGAGCATAGTGCTGGGGATTTCACTTTCTCTCTCTCACTGAAATCCTGATCTAGATCACCCTGCAAATGTTACGAGAAATGGTCCACTGGCATCCCCTCGACTTGTTAGACATCCCCCTTTGATGATACATTTGTCACTTCGCCAACATGTCACCTTTTCTTTGTATTGACATTTGTTGCTGTTTGTTTTGTGTAGATAGGATCAGAAAACCAATGATTCTGCACTAATCTCGTTTCAGTACACATTGTTCTGTTGTGTCATTCTGTTCCAGTACATTTCAAATGTATTAAAATATATATCCTTGAAAAGAATGATGTTCAAATGCAGCATTAAGACCAAAAGCCTTGTCTGCACAGATAAACCACTCCATTTTTGAAAATGTATTTCTTTATCTATGAAAATATTTGTAATATATATTTCAACCTCGCTCCATAAAATCCTGGTCATTGTTCAAGGACCAAGAGTGTGTGTTTGTATGGGCATGCGGGTCTGCATGTACAGAAAGTCTATGTAGATACGTGATTCTAGAATTGAAATATGATTGTGTGTATTTTTCCTTTACATGTAAAGAGATCTACAGCCCCTCTATATGCTATTGGCTAGAGAGAAAGTGTACTAAATCACATCATCCTATTTTATAACTGGACGAGCTTACTCCCAAACAATCACGTATGTCTTTTTTTTTGAATCTGAAATAAAAATCCTTCAGACTGAATCCATTTGTTTTTTTCACTTGTGTTTTTACACACTAGACTATACATTTTACCTTGCTCTTACCATCAGTAGACACAGATATATTGTGAGAACCATAATCTATGCTAATAAATATGTCCAGTCCTGAGTTCAAGTTTTAAAGAACGGGGCCATCTCTTTAAAATCTAGCATTTACAGAGTACATTGGGCTGTGTTGGTGGTTGGTATTCAGAATACCTTTCAAATGCATGGGGTGAAGGGTACTGAATCCTCTCCTATGCCGGGACGTAAGATCCCCATAATCTGTTTCATGACCTCACTTTTCTTTCCGACGAAGATGGGTGAGTGGCAAGGCAACTGTAGGGGCTGTGTGCCTTGATTCAGGGTTCAGCCAAGCCACTCAAGTGTTAAAGGTGTAGCAGAACTGAGGGCAGCGATATGGGCTTGGGGAGCTGTATTGGGCTTAGAACCCCTTAACACAGGAGAAACTGGCACCCCAGGGCTGCCACTGGCCAGATTTCCTGCCACTCTGCAAATCACTCAGATTTTCTTCTTTTGGTAACAGCAATCCAGGAGACACATTTGGTCTCCAGAGCTGAGAGAGCTTGTCTCTGTACTGACCACTAGCTTGCTTTAAGGCAGAAATGGCCAATGTTTCTACTATCCAGTATGTTTCCAAGTCCTGGTTGGTAGGTCAATGGCCAGAAGTTATCTAAGGGCAGAAACAGACATTATATTAAAAGCTGAAAGGAGTTAGCATTGGGGAGTGTTGATGTTGTCAACATTCAGGCTGCTCTCTGCTATGTAAAGCATGACATCCTTTTTTCCTGCTGGCACAATATTGTGCAGCAATGTCAGGTTATTTCTTTTTTGAATTATAGGTACAGAAGTGCAATATCCCATATTCATAAACCTGAGTTTTTTGAGGAACTGAATTTCCTGTGGTTTTTTTAAATGGGAGTTTTAAATATAGATAAGCTATACACAAATTTAATCAAAAATCTCCGTCATATAGAACTACCCAGTGTTAGAGGATTCCAGAAGATAAGCATATGGTATATGCTATGGGTCCTGGGAGAAGACAGAAGTGAGAACAGCTCAGATGTGGCTGTAGTCTCTCTGTGTCAAAATATTCTGAAGGGCTGTTTTGGGCTTCATGAAATGGTGAAAAAAAAGTTGTGAGTTGGTACAACACATACAGTGGAGAAACTTACACACTCTTTAACCTCTTGGTTAAACTAATGTTGCCATGCCGCTTCCTCCAAAGACAGACTGGAAAGCTATGTTCCAATTTCTAACCCCTTTCTGTGAGTTAGGCAAGCTGAGGAAGAAATGCTGCATTGGACCAAAAGCTGTATGCACATGTTGTGTGCATGCTTTCCAAAATACAGTATGTCCTTTTGCTTTTTGAAATTTTTAAAAAGGAAGAGGTTGGAATTAGTAAAAATGTCATTGGAAATCAGGGTCAAAATCATCCATACTATGTGAAAGAAATAACTTGAAGAAAAGACAGGGATAAAAATAAACTCATTTGAAATGTGATATTGGTATAGATACTAAAGATAGCCAGAAAAGTGGGCGTTTCATCAAGTCAAGCCCAATTTTGAATGCTGGCAATTTATAAGGAAGCCCAAATTCTCAAGAGTTTTTCACACTTTGCAATCACTAATTTCAAAGTGTGAATTAGAGCCATGAATGCTGAATTCTTTCAAATAATTTTTTAAAAAGTAAAGTGGCTGGAAATGAAATTTTTTTTACAGGTATGCAAATTTGATCTTATTACTGTAATGTATTCAATCTGTTTTAAACTGGCAGTAGTTCCAAGTTCACTTATTCTGCATGGGGCAGAACAGTGTTACATTTTTCAAAACCGTAACTCAGAAACCCTTTGCCCAAACATCAACAAAATTTGGCACAGAACAAGAGCTGACTTTCTGCTACATTTGTGCCAGATTTGGTGCTGATCCAAGTCTGGTGTCATAGTTGTAAATTTTTGTTTGGGGCACTCCTTTTTTAAAAAGTTGTTTTATGTAATGCTGAATCCTTCTGTCAGCACAATATATTGATGTCCTCCCAGGCACTAATAATTAATTGACATTTTTTCCTTACATCTGACAGTTAACTCTCCAAGCACCTACTGGCAGACACTAGAAACAATCTGACTGGCTACACATTCTCTTCTGCAAAAAATACATATATAATAGATTTAATAGAATTAAACACACACACACACATGCATGCTGGCTTGGGATATATTTATATATTCTAACAGAAAGAAGCGAGTGAGGCAGTTTTTCAGGTCATCCATCTTTCAGAATCCTGTGCTGAACTCCTGAAAACCAAACGCCAAACAAAGAAAAATTATCTGCAGATTCCAGGAGATGAAAGAATTTCTTGTTCATGCATACACAGAAAATCCAGAAGAGAGATATCACCTTGAAATCTGCTTTAAGTCTTGAAAACAGTTTTTCTCATTCTGATAGACACAAAGAGAGAAATCATAACTGTAGGCAACTTTTTACCACATTTGATTTAACCTTTTTAATCTGATGAAATTGCTTTAGAGACCAATCCATCTGTTCTGTACTCAGTTAACACTCGCTAGCCTGAAGTGAAATGCTTTGGGAATACTTAAGAATTGCCTCTATATGTTCTCCTTACATGGAGACCTTTTTTCCCCCAAAATCATAATATTTGCATCATTATGAAAGCGGCAATCAAGAAGTCTGAGAATCTTTCAAATTCCTTTTTCTTGTAAGGAAGCAGTATAGTGAATGAAGTGGATTTGTCTTTCTTCTTGCCACCTTCCTCCACTTCCACTAGATAAGGCTCCTGATAGAGATAGCACAGTAAATTTTTGTGGAGCAGTTTCAGGACAGGAAGATGGCTATCAAGCAGTGCTTCTCAACCTTCGATAATCCCAGATGTTCTCGGACTACAACTCCCAGAAATCCTGGCTGTTACAGCTAGTGGTAAATGCTTCTGGGAGTTGTAGTCCTGTTACATCTGGGGACCCAAGGTTGGGAACCATTGCTTTTACGTGAGAGATATTGCTGCTTTTAAAAAGGATCTTTACAGTGTAAAGAAAATTTGCTGCTATTATCTTAGTGTTTAGGAGGGAATAAATCTCAAAAGAAGAAGCAAAGAAAAGCAGATGAATGGAACAAGTATATTGGATCCAGATTACTCATGATGAATATTAGCTCTAAAAGCCAGTACAAGCATCACAAAATCTATTCCTCAGGGCGTTTTCCCAAGCTGCCGTAAACCTGGGATCTTCTTTAGAGTTTGGAGGATTTTTATTTATGGCAGGCCCAAGTATGGTCCATTTCTACATGGTGTAAGTAACTATCTTTTTGATAGGCCAGATTTCTTGATTAACAACTCAATCTTCTGCAGGTTAACTGAGTATTAAGCCCCATAATTGAGTTCCATGGCAGTCACTCCAGACACCAAATTAAGTCCCCTTCCAGAGTTTATTCCTAATCAATTAGGTATAGGAATCTCGCCTAAGGCTACAATCATATGCCTACCAACCTGGGTGTCTGTGAAAAATGTGGCTTGTTCCTGTTAAGGCATTTATAGGGCCAAAGAGAAAATCAGGATCTCATTTTGCTGAGCAGCTCAAATGTACCTGGCTACAAATACACGGAATCATCCATTCTATATCAAATGCAGAATTTATGGCAAAAACTGCATGTCCTCTTACTGCCCTGGAGAAATGTCTATTGCCAGTCCTAAAGTAAGTGAAAGGAACCACTTCCTAAATTTACAAATTGCTAATTAATTAAAGGATGAGGTCTACCTCATGAAGTAAAGATGTGCTTACCTTCCTTATGAAAGTTTCTAAACAACACAGAGAAAAGATCTTCATGAAAACATAAATCAGAAAGAAAGAACACCCAGGATCCAGATCAACATCTGGAAAATTAAATAATATATCTCTGAAGTAATCTGGAGATTGTATCCACTGTATGGGATTTACCAAGCATCTGATCCTTATTGCTGAAGAAGATGCAAAGCATCAAACATGTATTTTCATATGAGATGAAATTATGGGGAAAAATGGAAACTGTTTTATTGTTGGGGAATCCAGGAATGCAGTAAAATTATTAAAAATTGGATGTGCAATTCAATGCTAAATTAACTTTGTTATCATGATTTATGGGACCAAACGAAAATCTTAGCCTCAAAAATCTTAGCATGGGATTGCAGCCGTAACAGCTGTTTGGTGGATATTAACTGAAACAAGATGAGCAAAATGTAGAATACTGGTGTCACTGATGCTGAATAAAGTACAGTACTCTATGGAGAATAAATGCTCCATCTGGATAAATTCCCCTGAAAGACATACAGATGAAAAATAAACCTGGAGAAAGATTTCCTCCTTGTGGCTGAATTAGGAAACTGCTCTTGCAGGGCAACAATGTCCATCCCCAGTCTACTCAGTTCAATGTGTACAGTATGTGTTTATAAAATATAGCTAGAATCTCTCTTTTACCTCCCCTGCTTTTCTGAATAAAGTAAACATGGTTAAGGACAGCTCAGCATTCCTGCTGAGGCTTAAAAATAAATGGTATCTTACAATTTTATATGCCCTCTTATCATATCTTAGGAAAATGACTGGCACATTCCTATAATTCTCATACATTCCCAATCAAAGATGATGTGTATAATGAAGTGAATGGAGATGTCCCCCCCATTATTTAATGAAGAGTATACATAACTTTTAAATACTCTTAAATTTCTGAAATATCTATAGCTGGCAGCCTTTTGCAATTTTTCATTGATGAAACACTGGTTTGTTGTGACAAATACATATTTTATGCTATGCTCTTCAGTCTGAACATTTTGATTTTTGTCACCCAGTATTATGAATTTCTAAAATATGTAAGATAATGACATTAATATTTGTCTTAAGTACAAATAAATAATTTCAGCTACTGTAACTGTTATCATATGAATGTTCAGATGTGTCTTCCTCGCCCTGGATGTCTTGTTTGAGGAAAGGTCTTCCTAGGTCTTTTCCTCTTTTTTCTTTTTATGCGTTGATAGCAACCTGTTTTCCTCTCTTGAAGACATGATGACTCTACCTAAAGTCTCTGCTGGACCAGATATTTATAAAGTTGACAAAGTGACATCACAAAGTGTGGTCAAGGTACAGTATTGTTACCCGGTGTGGGGGGTGCCATCCCCAAGGTTGCTAAGCCACATGGGTGGTGGCAATAGGGCTGCAGCTTTAATGAGAAACTGAGGAACAAACTCCACTGCATATGTTGCAGTTGCTTTTGTACTGCTCCACAGAAATCACCAGCAACGCAAGTTACGATGACTCTGAAGAAGATATGAAATTGGAGGCATGACACCATCATCAGAAATGGAAGATGAAAGGCAGCTTCATTCAGCACTTTGTCAGCGGCTTGTGCTTAGAAAGCCAGTCCAGTAGATCAGTGACCAACATCTGCCAGTCGGATATACCAGGGCAACAGTGGGAGCTTCTCCAGGCCACATGATGGTTGTCCAGCAACTTCTCTGGTGCTTCGGCTTGTGCTTAGAAAGCCAGTCCAGTAGATCAGTGACCAACATCTGCCAGTCGGATATACCAGGGCAACAGTGGGAGCTTCTCCAGGCCACATGATGGTTGTCCAGCAACTTCTCTGGTGCTTTTTTGCATGAGACTCTGGGAATGGAAGGGGTTAGGGTGGGGAATGAAGTTTGGTTCTCTTTAAACCTTCAGTATTTTGATTGTGATCCTCAGCCCATAAGCATTTTAGTTGAAACGTCAGTGTTTTGGGATTCGTTAATGGAGCACTCCAAGATGTATGGAACCATCACCAGAAATGGCCCATCTGTTTATCCTTCTTTTCCCACTGTGAGCAACACTATAGGAAACTCAACAGCAGTTCAGTGCTGGGGAAGGATCCATCCCAGTAACCAAGACTTTGGCATGATACTGACAGCTGGTCCCTACCTCCGCAGTATTAGGGAGCAGGCCGGGTAGGTGGGGCTCGTCAGCCATGGAAGGCAGCCCATCTAGGAGAAGGAAAACTCAGATTTCAAAC